AGACGATCCAGTCGATGGCGAAGACGATTGAGCCGTCACATCTTGCAGAAATCAAGATGCAAGATAGATCAGAGATGAAGAATTGAAGAATCATAGGAGAATGAGAACAAGAATCGATCAAGAATCGAGCAGAAGGATGAATCGATCCTGTTAAGCGAAATAGCAAGATACCATATTAAAACAGAAAACTTCCTCTGTAAGTTTTCAATTATATTAACTGAATAATGAATTGTACACTATGAAGATATATGTATAGGCTTTGGCTATTTACATAGACACCCCTAATTGCCTTAGCTAATCTCATAACTATTCTAACTAATCACAACCATTAGCACAACTAGTTACATTTAGTTTTAACACATTATTTAACAGTAACTGAAATGGATGACTTGTCATTCTCCCTAATGGGGGATACCACTGGTGGTATTTCACTCAACCACACAAGCATTGTCATAGGAGAAAACTTAAACATATGTGAGTGTGCAAGTAGTTTGAAATAAGCGCCACCATCATATCCTAGATACATGTGAGCTTCTCTTCAAAATTTGACAAGATTTTTTTCTTTTCTTTTCTTTTCTTTTTTTTTTTTCAAATTTTTAAAAGAAAAACTAATGAAAAGAGGTTGAAAACTTTGAGTTTTAATGATAAGGACAAAATAAAGGGTAAAGTGAATAGTACCATGATTAACTTTTTAGTGTAAAAATATGGTTTTTCTTTAAAGTAAACAGTACCGGGAGCTTTTTGTTAAAGTTCCCTTTTTTACAGTGCCTAGTATTCAAGCTGGTACTCTATATGTAATAATACAAGTGGTGGGACACAAAAAGTATATCATTTCCTCCACTTGTATTAGAGCAGTTCCACCGGAGCAAAAAGAGGCCAGCACCCAGTGGAAAAAACAGGCTGGGACTTAGCCAATCCACTCTAGCCCATGTGTTTGCCTGGCACCCAGCCTAAGCTGGTCTCCAGACCAGCCCATTTTTGACAGACCTGGGGATCAGCCTGTTTGTGTTCTTAAGCCTGGCATATGTCCTACACGTGCACATCCTAGCGAGTAGGAGACAACAAAATCAGAGGTAGAGCCCAGCGGCGCAGGCTCATTAACCTCTCCCTCGGGTGGGCGACATGGCCCAATTTCTACCGTTGGATTTCCAACGGTAAAAAAAATTTGAATTTCACTTTTAAACTAGAGCGTCCAATCACAGATCAACAATCCACGTTTTTTCCCCCCAAAAATTAAGAATTTCACTTTTAAAAAATACATAAAATTTTTAATAAATTCAGAAATTTAAAATAAAATTATTATTATTTATTATTTTGTAATAAAAAATAATAATATTTTAATAAAATGGACTAGGCTATTTTTTTTTAGGGATAGAGATGCTTTGGCCTATTACTGCTCACTGTGGTCTATTACTGTTCACTTGAGTAGATAAATGGGCTAGGTGCTGGCGCAAAGTCTTTAGGGGTGGACTTGCTCTTATGTCATTGGAATACCACTTGAATACCCAGAACTTAGAAAAATCTCTCCTCCTTTTTGAACTTTTGGGCATATAATGTACATCTTACAACGTGCCCTTCAAATACAGGGTTCACAATTCACACATAACTCCCTTGATGTTCTCGTTCAATGAAACTTGGAAGTATCCTTCGACCACAAACAAAAAACCCCCATTTGATGGATTTTGAGCATAATGAAACGTAGATTAACGCCTTTCAGCACATGGAACCCAACAAGAAGTTGGAAGTCGTGTGTGGCTTCGAAGCCGATTTGGTAGGGTCTTTTACTTCCCTTTTCCTTCCTTTGCTGTTGGTTCTTACTTTTTACTCCTTTTTTTTTTCTCTCTTTCTTTTCTGTTTTCTTGTAATAATTTGTGATCATTTAATTGCCCACGAAAGTAAGAGTGCACATGATGGTGCATCTTGCAACGTAGAAAGTAGTCTTTGTTCTACAATGTACAATATTTTTTCTAATAAATACCGCAACCCATCTAATTTCACCTCACCACTTTAGTTTAACTACCCACAAGCCCTAATTATTTTTCTAATAAAAAAAGCTTTTGTGATTTGGTATTCTCTATGTACAGTGAGAGTTCTTTCTCTCTAATCTGAGAGTATTTCTCATTGCATGTAAGTCTTTCGAACTTGGGATTTTCCGATAACACCGACCCTAGCTTCGGTCGGGGTTGGTTGCCGTGTATTTTCTTTTCTCTTTTCCTTCTTCTCTCCCTGCCTCTACTGCTATCCTTTCCCAATTTTCACTTTGGTCTCCCCATTTCCTCTACTCCTGAAGGTATACCTCTTCCCTGCTCATCTTTGATCTGATCTTCAGCCATGTTTCATGAGGAGATTGTGTGTAGAGTTCCAGTGTTTACACTGGCTCAGGTGTTACAACCATCACCACTATTTCCTTGTTGTCCGTCGGTTATTCCGGCAGTGTCGTTTGTGGTATCCACGAACTTCATACCATAGTCGGCTCCGTTCACTTGGTTGTCGATTATCCATTGTTTATGTTTGTGCTCTGGTAGCAAGTCGAGGTTTGAGGTGGCATCTGTGGAGGCGCAACTGCACAGAGGATGGGAATTGGCTGATGGACGTGTTTCAGAGGGTGGAGATGGCTGTGGTGGCGGAAGTTGTTTGGTTTTTGTGCCTTACTGGCCTATGTTGTAAGGTGTGTTTTTTGTAATAATAATCTCCTTGACCAAAAAAAAAAAAAAAAAAAAAAAATCATAACAAAAATGCTTTTGTGTTCATCTTCTTCTCAAACAAAGAACACGCTCAAAGTCAAGGGTTCGAAACTTTTCTTTTTTTTCGGTTTTTAAAATAAAATTCCTGCTGTTTTATTGAAATCTCGACGCCTTGGACAATAAAAGGCCAAATGGAAAGGAATTGTTCGACAGAAGAAGATCGAACGTGTAGGTTCTCAAATAAAATTAAAAGGAGGATCAATTTAATCTTAGACATCTACCTAGAAGAGAAGTATTACTGGACTAAAAAATGCTGTTTAGCAACTAGGGGCTGTGCTTCACAACCAAAACTTCTACAAACCAAAACCAAACCAAATCAAACCAAATAAGCTTTTGGTTAATATAAATTCACGATATTTTTAGCAACATCCTCTCGGACATGCTCACTAGATCGCCATCTTTTTTGTGCAACTAATGATACGTAAACAAAATTTGCAAAACAAGATACAATTACAATGTGGTAAAATATCACGTTAGTAACAGTAAGTTTTCCAAGAAAACCTGTTAAACATGGAAATCAGAAGGCAGGAAATGGCAAACCACGTATTGACTGGGAAGGAACTGCCACGAAAACTAAAAGAACTTAATTATTCAATAGCCAAAGCCTAACTATACGTTTTCCATTTCAACCTAAAAGGTAACTGTGTAAAAATCAAGACCTCTGTACGCGAGAGAGGAGGGCATATGCATGATGTGTCCCATCGGCCGGCGGCCCTCTGTTGGTCGTATGTGGTGGTTGTGCTCTTCGTCGAGCGAGATATCAGTGTTTGCAAATAAGTGGGTTGGTCCGTGTGTCTAAAAAGGCAATTTGGTGACAAAAGTGGTGTTTGTTGGATTTGTGTCCAAATTCTATTGGGCTTTAATTCATCTCAGCAGCCCATTCAATGGGTCCTTTTATTTAGCCCATATGTGCAAGCCACGTGAGGTGGCTAGGGTTTTAGTGAGGCAGCAGCTGCTGCCATTTGTTTTGAGAGAAGCAAAAATTAGAAAAGGTGCCGCAGCCCCACTTAGAAGAGAAGAAGAAAGTGCTCTTCTTTTTGGTTAGCAATCATTCATCAAAGTATTAGTTGTTGTAATAGCTTTGAGCTTTGTATAGAGAAGAAATTGATCATTATATTTCTTTACTTATTTGTTTCTTTGTTCAGTGAGAGTCATTGGGTGTGTTGGGGTTTGGGTTGTGAGGGTGACAACACTTTGTAAACTCCCATTTGGTTGATAGTGGATTATCGACTGAGCTCTTACTATTCCGAGGACATAGTTCAGTTACACTGACTGTTGAGAAACTTTATTAAAATCTGAGTGTCTTTTATATTTTGTTCTTGCATTTCATTTGATATATTATCTGCGGGTTAACTTGAGTTGGTTCCAATTGGTTTGGTGCTATCCTGGCACAATAGTGTTCTTAGAAAAAAAATTCAAGTTCAAACTTTGAAGACTTTTTCTTTCATGAATGCAATAATGCAATGCGGGTTCATCGGGCCATTTGGCACTTGGTGTATCCAATAAATGTTTCCCACCCCTATTCAGCAAGCAACATAATTTAGTGTTTTAAGAAAATCAGAAAAACGATGAACTTTTTATTTGCAAATTCTTTTTTTTTTTTAATAAAAATATTACTATTTTAAAATGTCAATAATAATTTTCAAAATATTAAAGATAACTTAAAATTTTCCAATCCCTTCCTACTTTGTAACAAGACTTTCATGCAGTGAAATATCATTTAGTACGGTACTTCAACTTAGACAGATAGTTATGTTACAAAATACAACGTATCATACTAAATATTAATTTGAAACACCAACACGGTAATACTTTTATTGTGATAAGTTTCCCCTTTCATAACTATTTCTGTTTCATAATTATCTGTGAGTTGAAAGTTGGAATTGGATCTGACGTAGAAGGTTGAAACATCGGCCCAGAAAATGAGTCTCTTGTTTCATAATTATTTGTGTGAAAGGAATGAGTTTCTTTTGTTTCATAATTATTTGTGTGAAAGGGTCCGGAAGAGGAAATAAGATTCTCTTTCTTTTTTTTTTTTTTTTTTGTCTATTTTTTTTCTTTTTTTTTTATTTAAATGGTTAATTCACGTTAACATCTTATATTAATTTTTTATATTTAAACAAGTCACTGTTGATATCTTATATTAATTTTTTATTAAAAAAAAAAGACAAAATAAAGAATATTAGAAGAGAAGATAGAAAAGAATGGAAAGAGGAAGAGAGAGACATGCACAAACAACTCACGTCCAATCAATACTAAAGTAAATTAGGCGGTGGATTATTATCGACCAAGTAGCGTACAAAGAGCTGAATAAACGTCATACATTACACACTAATGAAATGATCACTAAGTGGAGATCTTATACACTACAGATGAAGGAACACAGGGGCATCAAAGTCATCTACTTTAGAAGTTGTACATGGAAAACAAGTAAGGTGAAAGGCCGAAAGTGTAAGAAAAGAAAGCAAAGGTTGAAGAACTTCCAATCAGTGCACTCATCCACACCAGTCAGCTTGGGAAATTTATTTTTTCAGGGAAATTAGATTGCTTTCTCTGCCTCTTTCAATAGGCCTCCTGCTCCCCCTAGCCATTAACCAAACCAAGGATTAATTAGAATAATTAATCGTAAACATCAATCTTAAAAGGTGTAAAAGTAGAAAAGAAAAGGCCCATTTGAGAATCAAAATAAGAATTCGATTTTTCGCACTCCATATTTTTTTACGAGCTTTTAAATTGAATAAATCAAAGGAGAATCTTTGGAAAATGAAATATTATCAAAGCTTGAAATTAAGAACCACTCACAGTCTTGGGGTTCATGAACTGCACAAACTTGTTCTTTGCTTTGCCAGTGGGGGATGTATTGCTGGATTGGGGATGGTTATATTGGGGATGGTTATTAAATCCTCCATACTTTCTGACTTGATCTCTCACATATCTCTCATACAAGAAAGCTGCCCCCTTGAACTGTGGCAGAACCAACCATGCCACAAACACAAGTTTCACATTGTACCAAATTGGTAACCTACAAATATTCCACCACCAACAAACTTAATCACAAACTAACAAACTTAAATTATGATAAACTTAAAACAAAAGCCCGTTTGATAACCATTTCAGTTTTCAAAGAAAGTGAAAACCAAAATTGAAAATTGAAAACGAAAAAATTGAAAATTAAACGAAATTGATAAGTTTCTTAATTTGTTCTTACCACTCGAGGGCTGGTTGGAGCAACATCTCCACGAGAGTGAGGAAAGAGTAAATAATCCAATAGGCAAGCCACTGCTCATCATCTAGTTTGGACGTGCTCTCTATGGCTACCACTGATGCATATCTACACTCAAATCATATAAACATACATGCCCATTGCAACAAAAACCAAAAATTAATACTTCTTCTTCATCTACTTATTGGGTTTCATCAAATTAATCAAAAGAAATAAACTTTGAGAGAGAGAGAGAGAGATGCTTACAAAGGGTAAAGCAACATCAGCACTGGCCTGCATAAATTGTCAAGAAACTTTTGGGTCAGATAACTGATCAACCCAGAAAGACAAAAATAACACAAATTGGAAAGAAAATCGAACCAAAAATTAAATGTTAAAAAAGCAAGAAAATGAAGTTTTACCCAGCAACTGTGTGAACTTGGGTAAGAAAGGTCCAAGCTTTTCCCATTTTTTTCTTTTGGGGGCGGGGCGGGGGTCCAACAAAAACAACAAGAACTTGAAAACTGAAGCAAAAAACTCGGATGGATAAATCGGGTTGGTTGCAAAAAAAGAGTAGACAGTACGAAGGGTTTTAAGTTCAGAATTTCCGAGCTAGATTGAAGAGAGTTGGTGCTGCATTTATAGGATGGCAAGAAGAGGACACGTGGCAGGAGAAGAACAAGTATCGGATTTTGCCTTAAGCGTGTCAAGGTGGATTAACACCCCCCCGTCCAGCGGTGCGGTCAGGTTAGTCAGGTGCGTGAGTGGCTGGAGGCCCTTGGGCTCTGCCATTACCTCAAACGACACAACGGCTTTGTGCTTTGCTACAGACACAAGCCACGTATTGGTTTTTGTGGGTTTTCTGTAGTTTAATCGAGGTCGGTCACACGTGCCGGAGGATGAGCACCCAAATATGTAGTGTTAAAAGGACATATTTTCTATTTTTTTTTATTGCAGGTCCGATTGAGACAGATCATTCAAGGTGGGGTCATGATTTATTGTGTTGTGATGTCGGTAGTAAATAAAGAATCTCTTCCCGAGGGTTATTTCTTTTGGAATACGATTTTCTACCTTTTTATTCTCTTCTCTCACATATTATTTTTTATTTTATTATCTTTATATAAAAAATTAATATGAGATGTTGACATAGTTTAACCGTGATTATTCAAATAGTAGGAAGGAAATGTAATGGTAGAGAGATTAGAGCATCCCCAGTAAGGGGCTTTATATGGAGCTGAAAAAGTGATGGATATATCCCATTTTAGAGTTCTGAAAATCTTTAGGGCTTTATAAAAAATATCTCCTAATGAGGAGCTATATCTTTCGGGCTCTATATGGGATTATATATATTTATTTATGTTCTAATTTGATTAAGTGATGATTTTTTTTTTTTTTTGTGAACCATTCAAGCTAAAATGTTTAAATTGTGATAAAGTTAGATTTCATCACTTATGAATCGTTCGTTGAATTAGATTCCTTTATCTCAATCTCATTCGTTCAAAAAAAACAAACTCATACTTCGCTCTTTGAAATAATTTGATTTTCACATATAACACAACAATTTACCTAGCACCAATTGGTAAATTAGTATCATACAATTTTGAAAAAAATTATTTGAAAATTTCACCCTTTAATGCCTATGAACGTTAAATCAATTTGAAATTTTAATTCTTATAGAATTTAAAACAATCATTAATTAGCCAAATTGCAAGAAAAATAAGTAAGAAAAAAGAATTTAAAAAATAATAAAATGAGAGTATAAGTGTATTTGCAAGTGGAGAAAGAATGATAAAATTTTGCTCACATAGGTTGTTACTTTTTTTGTAGGACCCACTGTTTTTTCGGGTTAGATGTAACCCGATTTTCTGCTACCCAATAAATGAAGTTACTAGCCTCAGTGGTGGATCTAATCTCATTTTCTGGTTTATTGGGGATGAAATCTCTCACTAAGGCTAGAAATGTGGTAGCCTTATGGAGGATAAAGCTTCCATTGGGGGTGCTCTAAAAACTATAAATATATATATATATATATATATATTAAATTAAATATTAAATATTGGTGACCATTGGATCGGCTTAAATATACATATCATTCAATTTCTTAAGTGTTATACATCCAAAATAAATAAATTTAAATTTACTTAATAAATAAATAAATATATATATATATATACACCATTGAACTTGATGGGATACGAATTCTACGAAACTAATTTCAACGATCTAATTGTCAAACTTGTTTGCATATGCTTCGAGATCGCATCAGCCAAAAATCGCAAAAAAACAAACATTCAGAGATCAAGTAACGGGACAAAACTTTTCGACGGTTATCAACGAAAAATCACGATTTAACGGTTATTTTAACTTCGATTTTGATGATTGTTTACAACTACACTCCTTGAGCCTATATGAATACAATGAATGAACTCGATCTTCAATTTAAAATATTTACACTAGTGGATACCACAAAATCTTATGTTATACTTAATGAAAGTATAAATAAACTCTAAGTGTTAGTGAATCTATCGTTTTGATGGGATACGCATTCTACGAAACTAATTTCAACAGTTCATCCATCAAACTTGTTTGAATATGCTTCAAGATGGCATACGCCAACAATCGCAAAAAACAAACATTCAAAGATCAAGTAACGTAACAAAATTTTTTGACAGTTATCAACGAAAAATCATAATTTAACGGTTATTTTAACTCCGATTTTGATGATTTTTTTACAGCTACACTCCTTGACCCTATATGAATACAATGAATGAATTCAATCTTCAATTTAAAATATTTACATTAGTAGATACCACAAAATCTTATGTTATACTTAATGAAAATATTAATAAACTCTTAAGTGTTAGTGAATCAATCTTTTTGATGGAATACACATTCTACGAAACTAATTTCAATGATCTCACCGTCAAACTTGTTTGTATATGCTTCAAGATCGCATACGCCAAAATCCGCAAAAAACAAACATTCAGAGATCAAGTAATGAGACAAAACATTTTGACGGTTATCAATGAAAAATCACGATTTAACAGTTATTTTAACTCTGATTTTGATGATTTTTTACAGTTACACTCATTGACCCTATATGAATACAATGAATGAATTTGATCTTCAATTTAAAATATTTACACTAGTGGATATCACAAAATCTTATGTTATACTTAATGAAAGTGAATAAACTTTTAAGTGTTAGTGAATCTATTGTTTTGATGGGATACGCATTGTACGAAACTAGCTTCAATAATCTAACTATCAAACATGTTTGTATATACTTCAAGATCGCATACACCAAAAATTGCGAAATGCAAACATTTAGAGATTAAGTAACAGGACAAAACTTTTCGACGGTTATCAACGAAAAATCATAATTTAATGGTTATTTTAACTCTGATTTTGATAATTTTTTACAGCTACACTCTTTGACCCTATATGAATACAATGAATGAACGATCTTCAATTTAAAATATTTACACTAGTGGATACCACAAAATCTTATATTATACTTAATGGAAGTATAAATAAACTCTAAGTGTTAGTGAATATATTGTTTTGATGGGATACGCATTCTATGAAACTAATTTCAACGTCAAACTTGTTTGTATATGCTTCAAGATCGCATACACCAAAAATCGCAAAAAACAAACATTTAGAGATCAAATAACGGGACAAAACTTTTCGACGGTTATGAATAAAAAATCATGATTTAACGATTATTTTAACTCCGAGTAGTGTATGGATGTTTGTAATAGACTAGTAGTGTATCCTTGTACATTTAATAGTTTGCAATAGACTAGTAGTGTATAGATGTTTGTTTATTAGGCTCTTAATTTCAAGTGTAGATGTAATACTTAAACAACATGTGTATTAATGTTTTGAAGTAATATTTATGTGGCAATGTGTGGTATGTGCAAATTTAAGAAAAAATAAATATTTTTCTTAACGGGTTGGGTCACTTCACCTGTTCGATAAAATGACCCGACCTGTTAAGGACCCGTTAAGATAACGGGTGTGACACAACACGACCCGTTAAGATAACGGTGTTACACGAAAACGACAAACATAACTTGTTTTCCAGGCCTAATTTCTTCTGACTATATATCTGGTTATATATACTTATTTATATAGTAAATTAATTAAGAAATGATTTTATTTTATTTTTTAAGTTTTTCTTAAGTTAAGTTTTAGATGTTCTATCTTAATTTTTTTTATGAACCTTTCAGCCTAAAAAGTTCAAATTGTGACAAAGTTAGATTTCATTACTTATATATCGTTTGTTAGATTATATTCTTTTATCTCAAACTCATTCTTTAAAAGAAACAAACCCTCACTTCGTCCCCTGAAATAATTTGATTTTCATGTATAACACAATAATTTACCTAGCACCAATTGGTAAATTAGTACCATACAATTTAAAAAAAAAAAAAATTTGAAAATCTCACCCACGTTAAATCAATTTGAAAATTTAATTCTTATGAAATTTAAAATAGTTATTAATTAGCCAAATTGCAAGAAATTCTTTTTTTTTTTTTTTTTTTTTTTTTTTTTTTTTTTTTTTTTGTGGAGCGGGGTCAAGGATAATTTCATTACCAGCAAAGCAAGATTACATGAAAGGAAGCCCAAAATCAAAAGCAAGCATAGGAGAAAAGTAAAGACCTTCTAAACAAACAGAAGTTTGGGCCAAAACAGAAATTGGAACCCATAATAAGAAAAAACAAAAGGCAAAGAACTTTTTTAATCTTCCTACAACGTCACTACGGAACCGATGAACCAAAGAAGAGACTGAAGCCTCGACGGGAGATCCGTAAAAGATGGTATTGTAGCATCCAACCGGAACTAGCAACATGCGTCATCTTCAAGCGATCAAACGATGAGTCAAACATGACTCTCAAAAAGCTCGACCCACCACCGCAGACGTGAAATCCACAAATGTGAGAAGAACTAAGAGAGGCACCAGCAGCAAACGAAAACAAGAAGACACCAAAAGCAATAAGCCCAAAAGTAAAAACATCCGGAAAAACCTTAATCCCCAACAAATAGAAACAGTCTCACGCCCTTTGTCTCCGGCTAGCAACCACCAAAATAGCCACCATGAAGGATCCAAAACTATAGTGGGTCTACAAAGACCAAGGCATAGCAAAATCAACCAAAAAGTGGCAAGCATACCCAAAGCAAAAATCAAATCTTAAAGTATAAAAATTGAAATTCCAGATTAGGTCCAAAACTTTAATATCTAATTTTTGGGTAAGGGAGAAGGAAAATGGTGGGGAAAAACATGGTTGAAATGGACTGATGTGCAAGTTGGTAATGGAAATATAGAAGGGGTGAGGTTGAGGAAAAGGGGCTGTAAGATGGGGACTACGGTATGAAAAGAACACAGAAAGTAATAAGAAAAATTCCAAGCCTCCGACTCTCAAAACGGCAATCGGATGGGGAAACTGAAGAAACGGGAGGGATGGTGAGAAATTGCAACTGTTAAAATTCTCTCACAAAATGAGAGAGAGACCCTTACATGCAGAGGGAAGATCTCTCACAGAGGAGAGAAATGGAAGGTCCAAACTTTATACTTAGTGATTAAGACTTCAAGCTACTTAGGGTCAATGATTAAGACTT